AGTTTAGTTCCTATGTATTCGTCTATGCATTTTATTGTTTCAGGTCTTATATTCAGGTCCTTAATCCATTTTGAGTTAATTTTGATGTGTGGTGATAGACAACAGTCTAGTTTCATTCTCTGGCAGGTGGCTTTCCAGTTTTCCCAGCACCATTTATTGAAGAGGCTTTCCTTTCTCCACTGTATGTTTTTGACTTTTTTGTTGAAAATTATTTGCCCATATAAATATGGGTTTATTTCTGGACTCTCAATTCTGTTCCAGTGGTCCTTTGAATTTTGATGGAGATTGCATTAAATCTGTATAATTCTTTAGGTAATATGGTCATTTTAACTATGTTGATTGTCCCGATCCACAGAATATCTTTCCATTTCTTTGTATCTTCTTTGATTTCTTTTAATAGGGTCTTGTAGGTTTCATTATATAGGTCCTTCACATGTTTCATTAGATTTATTCCTAGGTATTTTATTCTTTTTGTTGTAATTGCAAAACGAATTATTTTTTATACTTCTTTTTCTGACACTTCATTATTAGAGTATAGGAATACTATGGATTTTTGAATGCTAATTTTGTATTCAGAAAATTTACTGTATTTGCTTATTGTTTTTATTGGTGTTCTTGTGGAGTCTTTAGGGTTTTCTATATAGAGAATCATGTCATCTGCAAATAGTGACAGCTTGACTTCTTTGTTTCCTATTTGGATGCCTTTGATATCTTTCTCTTGCCTCACTGCAATTGCAAGGACCTCCAATGTTATATTGAATAACAGTGGCAATAGTGGGCAGCCTTGCCTTTTTAGTTTTTCAACATTAAGTATAATGTTGGCTGAGAGTTTGTCATATATGGCCTTTATTATGTTAAGGTACTTTCCTTCTATACCAATTTTGTTAAGTGTTTTGATCGTAAAAATCTTGTATCTTGTCAAAGGCTTTTTCTGAATCTATTGATATGATCATATGATTCTTATTTTTTAATTTGTTTATGTGGTGTATCACATTAATTGATTTGCATATGTTGCACCAACCCTGTGCCTATGGGATGAAGCCCACTTGATTGTGGTGTATAATCTTTTTAATATGTTGCTGTATTTGGTTCACTAGTATCTTATTTAAGATGCAAAAATCTTAAATGAGAGATATTGGTCTATAGTTTTCTTTTTTTGTGTTATCTTTTTGTATAAAGGTAATATTGGCCTCATAAAATGAGTTGAGAAGTATTGCTTCCTCTTCGATTTTTTGGAAGAGTTTGAAGAGAATAGGTATTAAATCGTCTCTGAATGTTTGGTAGAATTCACTAGTGAAGCCATTCAGTCCTGGACTTTTACTTTTTGGTAGGTTTTTGATAATTATTTCAATTTCCATACTGCTAATCGCTCTATTTAGATTTTCCAATTCTTCTTGATTCAGTCAAGGAAGGTTGTATTTTTCTAAGTACTGGTCTATTTCTTCTAGGTTATTATGTTTGGCGTTGAATACTTTTTCATAGTATTCTTGAATGATCCTTTGTATTTTTGGCTGTCTGTCGTAATTTCCCCTCTTTCATCCCTGATTTTGTGTATTTGTGTCCTTTCTTTTTTTTCTTTAGTGAGTCTAGCCAGAGATTTGTCAATTTTATTAAAATTTGTCAATTTTATTCTCAAAGAACCAGCTCTTTGTTGCATTTATTTTATCTATTGTTTTTTTGTTTTTAATTTCATTTATTTCTGCTCTAACTTTGATAAATTCTTTCCTTCTGCTGACTTTATGCTTCATTTGTTCTTCCTTTTCTAGTTTTCTAATATGAAGCATTAGGTTATTTATTTGGGCTCATTCTTGTTTTTGGAGATAGGCCTGTGATGATATGAACTTTCCTCTTATGACCACTTTCGCCGTGTCTGAAAAGTTTTAATATGTTGTGCTATCATTATCATTTGTTTCTATGTATATCTTGATCTCTCTTTTATTTCTTCTCTGACCCAGTTATTCTTCAGTAGCATGTTGTTTAATCTCTGTGTATTTATGGTTCTTCCTGATTTCTTTTTGCAGTTCTTCTCTAGTTTCAAAGCATTATGATCAGAGAATATGGTTGGTATGATTTCAACCTTCTTATATTTGTTGAAGCTATCTCTGTGTTCCAGTATTTGGTCAATCCTTGAGAATGTTCCATGTGCACTAGAGAAGAAAGTATAAGCAGCTGTTTTGGGTTGGAAGGCTCTATAAATGTCAATTATATCCAGTTGGTCTAACGTGTCATTTAAGGATGTTATTTCCTTATTGCTCTTCTGTTTGGATGATCTGTCCATATCTGACAGTGAGGTATTTAGGTTTACTACGATAGTGTTTTGGTCTGTTTCTCCCTCTAGTTCTGTTAGTAATTGCTTTACATATTTCAGGGCACCCTGATTGGGAGCATAGATATTAATGAGTGTTATGTCTTCTTGGTGCATTATTTACTTTATCATTGTGAAGTGCCCCTCAATATCTTTCTTTACCTTTTTTATTTTCAAGTCTATTTTGTTTGATATTAGTACCTTTACTCCTGCTTTTCTCTGAATGCTATTTGCTTGAAATATCATTTTCCACCTTTTCACTTTGAGTTTGTATTTGTCTTTGGAGCTGAGATGTGTCTCCTGGAGACAACATGTGGTTGGGTTTTGTTTTTTGATCCATTCTGCAACTCTGTGCCTTTTTATACTTAGGGTGATTATTGAGCTATGAGGTCTTCTTATAGCCATTTTATCTTTTGCTTTCTAGTAGTTCAGTGTTTCCATTTCTTCCTTGTCCTTGTTTTTGTTTTCTTTATTTTGGTTGGCTTTTGTGGGTTTTGTCTCTGGTTCTTCTTTTTTTTATGTTATATATTTCAGTTCTGTATCTTTGGTATGTGGTTACCATTACAAATATATAAAGGATACTGATATATATATAGTCATCCATTTTCTTCTGCACGTACCTTTTCTCCATTTCCCTTTGTGAATTTGGATCTTTGAATTCTCCTGTTTTCCATCATTGTTGTCTCAATTTGTTCCTATGTATGCTGAACATTCATTACTATCTTGCTATAGCAATTATATTCTTACTGTTCTTAGTAAGGGTTATACTTCTCTGCTTCTATTTGCCTGATAGTCAACTTCCTCCTAATTATGCTTTTTTTTTTTGTCATTTTATTTTTGTTGAGCTGACCCCTTGCAGTATTTCTTATAGTACAGGCCTTGTAGTGGAGAATTCCCTCAATTTTTGTATGTCTGGAAAGGTTTTAATTTCTCCTTCATATCTACTGGAGAGTTTAGCTGGATATATCATTCTAGGTTGGTAGTTCCTGTCGCTTCATATTTTGAATATTTAATTTCATTCCTTCCTGGCTTATAAGGTTTGTGCTGAGAAGTCTGATGATTAATGGGTTTTCCTTTTTAAGTTACCGTTTTCTTCTTCCTGGCTGCCCTGAAAATTCTGTCTTTGCCATTGATTTTTGATAATTTTTATACAATGTGTCTTGGTGAAGGCCTTTTGGGGTTGACATAATTGGGTGTTGACTTCTTGAATTCCAAGCTTCAGCTTATTCCTTACATTTGGGAAATTCTTGTCCACTATTTGTCTGAAAATGCTTTCTAGTCCCTGCTCCTTTTCCTCACCTTCTATAATGCCCATTATTCTTATGTTTCCTCTCCTAATGGTATCAGCTAGTTTTTGTATTTCTCTTTCATTATTTTTCATTCTTCGATTTCTGTCTTCTTCTTTCTAATTTATTTCTAGATTTCTGACTTTGATATCACTGATTCTTTCCTCCATTCGTTCGACTCTATTTCCCAAACTTGCTATTTCATTTTCAACTCTTACAGTGTGTTTTTTATCTTCACAAGATCTATTTTGTTCTTTTTGAGAGTTTCATTCTCATTGCTAAAGAACTCATCTGCTCACTTAGTTGTTTTTTCAACTCCTGAAATTGTTGATGTAACTCATTTCGGAACTCACAGAGTTGTTTCAGAAGTACCCTCCTAAATTCTCTGTAATTTAAATTGCATATTTTTATGTCTGTAAGCTTATTTTTAGGAGATTTTTCTCTTTCTTTTTGAGATGCCTCATCACCTTGGTTGTTCATGGTATTTAATGGACTATTTCTTCGCCTGGGCATTAATGAAAATGTATTCTGCTTTTTCTCCAGAAAGAAGATTTATTATATTATGGTCTCTCTTTCATCTGTTGCAAAGAGGGTGCCTTTCTTTTGTTTCTAGTAGGTGACATCTAAGCCTCTTGGATCCCTGCTTTATATAAAGCCTTATAATGCCTTTTTTTTCTTTTAGATGTTTAGTCATGCTCACTACCCTCAGTTTCAGTCCCTGTTAGTGTTAGCAACAGTTTCAGTAGCGTTTGCTCAGATTCCCCTGGGCCTCCGCAGTTTTTGGTCTGAGGATATGGGGAGAGGGGCCCTCCAGGTTGGGGGTTGAGGGATGCGGCTTAGCCTCAGTTTTGCAACCTCGGCTGTAAAAGTCAATTGTTGTTTCTCTGCCTTCCTGCTTCTCTGCTTTCTGCCCTGATGACTGGGCTCTGCCACTTGCCACCTGAAGCTCACAGCACTCCCAGGCAGAGTTGTTCAGGGAAGTTGCAGTACCTTCTTCCCACTCCCTCCTCCTATAGGGCACTCTGGTGGCTGTGAGAGGCAGCTTCTTTGTTTCTCCCAGTCCACCGCCCGGCTCCCAGGATTCTGTCCTGTGGTAGCTCTTATGCGCAGATCCCATGCTCAGACATGCTGGTGTGCAGTTTGGGTGTTTTTTGTTAGTTTTAGATGTTTAGCTTATTGTTGTTTCAAGGGGAGAGATGTGAGGACGTCTCTCACTCCACCATGTTTCTCCAAACTTCTGAGTTCACTTTTCAAAATACTATCATACAACTAGTTTTTAAAATAATTTGAACATTTTTCAAACCATTTCTAAATTAATAATTGGTTTAGTCCACGCATGAATTAGCAATAGTTGGTGGCAGAAATTTTATATGCCATTTTGAAATTGTTATATCACTTTTATATTTTAGAATGAGGAACCAGTATTTTCTAAAGATGGCAGCAAATTTTTTATGACAGTTCCTGTTAAACAAGGAGGCCGTGGAGAATTTCACCACATAGCTATGTTCCTCATCCAGGTAAGTGCTGCTTCTGTGGTTTGGTTCCATTGCTATCATGTTCATAAAGACACAATTCTTGTGGCATTCTGAACCTACAGTTAATGCCTGTGAAGTCCAGCTGTATTTCCAACTTAAAGACATTTTAGGAAGAGGTTCCCCATTTTTAGCCATAATTCAAACTGTACCGTCCAATGAAATAGTCTCAACTTTCAACAAAGTTTAATGAGTTACACTTTTGCTATGAGTTGTGGGCCTTGGGATATAAAATTTAATAAACAAAAAGTATCCAACCCTTACTTTCAAGGACCTGAGGAAAATCTAGAGAATATATTTTTTGTTTGATTAATCAACAAACACATATTACTTATTTCGTAAAACTAATACTTTCAAGGAGTTTTAAAAGTTTTAATTACTCCAAGCAATCTAAATGTTCATCAGAAATTGAATAGTTGAATAAATTATGGTACACCTACACAAGAACATACAGTTCAGAGTTTAAAACCCAGGATAAAGTAGATTTTTTTTATGTGTTGTCAAAGACTCAGGGTCTGTGTTATATTTTTATGGCATTTCTGAGAAAAAGGAAAAAGATTATTGTTTTTTCTAAACTTCAAGTGAATGTCAGTGGTTTATATAATTTGTCTAATTATTAAAAAAATCAATGAATTAACAAATGGTTTAAATATGACAAGGTTAATGAGTCAATTTGAATCTAATTGCCAATTAAAAATATTCATGCAGAATCAAGTTTACTTTAAAACCAAATAAACATCCTAGCCTCACAAATAAAAGACAATTTATAAAGATAAAACATTGCAGATAAATTAGAATCTTCTGTGATAGTTATACAAACAAACTAGTCAAGAATGAATTTCATACTTATAAAATATAAATATAAATGTGGAAAAAGATCATTAAGCAACCTGGATACATTTACATTCTTAGAACTTTCAAGTCTTGTGTGTGTTCTCAACCTTTTATCATTATCTACATATATATTTGTATTGGACAGTTCAGTGCCTTGAATTCTCAAAATCTTGTGTCAATAGCTTAAAATTTAACACTTGTCCAAGGTCTATACTATTAAAATAATTGTCATGATTTTAACTTTAATTTTAATAAAAGCTGAAATAAATAATTTCGAACATATATAATTTCCACAGTAGAGATGTAGATTAATTTTTGTAGTCTATCATTAAGTTATAAAAACAGATTGTAGACTAATGTATAATATAATCTCATTGATGTCCTAAAAATGTATGCATTTAAACATAAATAAAAATTTTGGTGATTCAGTAGCCAACCATTAAATGATTACATCAGACAGATGGGATTAAGGTAATTTTTTTTTTTTTTATGTGAACTGGAAGAAGAAATTTTAAAAGGAAAAGAATTCTGTTTAAAATTGACATGCTCAGAAAGAGATAAATGATAGAGAACTTGGCAGCCTGCAGTCAGGAAGAACACCCTGATGCTTAGCTATAAGAACTTGATACTTAGCTATATTTAAGAGTTTTCTCATTAACTGAGAATATATTTATTTGTTTGAAATATCTTACTAAGTGAAATTAGTAAAATTTTGCAAATATTTTGCTCTCTTACACAATCACTGGGTAGAAAAACCATTAATTAAAGACCAAGCTACAGAATTAGTGCTTTTATGCTATTTTCACAAGAGAGTGATGTTTGGCATTACAAATATTTTAGTGTTTTTTTTTCTCATTTAAGAAAGTGATACTTGTTAAAGTAATTCCAAAAAATAAAAGAAGGAATCCAAGTGTTTTCACCCAGTCTTCTTACTATTGTAATTTTATGTAAACTACAATATTTCATCCTGATGTTTTAAATTTAAATTTTAATCTAAAGGCTACTTTTCCCATAATGCTAAATAATATTGAAAAACAATTCTTTATAAAATTAATATTTAGTTGATTGGATGTACAGAGTTAATCATTATTTAATATTAAATTTAGTGTCAATTTGCTATAATTATAAATGTCATGTATATAAAGCTTATTTATATTATGGATCATTTCTTTAGTTTTAATTAAGAGAACAGAAATTTCTGCATCAAAAGTAAATATTTCTAAATATATATGTACAGTTATATATATATTTCTGTTTTTTTAATATGAATATGTGAAAGTAGAACTTGTGAGCATTTTCTATATTTTTATATATTTCATAAATATGACATTAATAAAAAATGGCTTTTTCAAAAATCTACATAGCTAAAATAATTATTCCTCTGAATATTCAGTATTAATATCAATTTATGTAGTTCCTGACTCAATAATGCAAAACTTCTTTTACCTCAGACCATTAAACTCTTTTGATCACCAGATATTTTTCTCTACCATTTCTCCCATAGCATTTTTTATATAGACTTCTAAATTCTGAATTCCCATATCTGAAACTATAGCATTTTACATCCTGCAATACCGGTGGCGGTTAAGATAAATACTTTTTTTCCTCAAAGATATGGCCAAATTTTTCTCTCAAATGTAGGGTAAGCAGTGTTTCAATCTTGTTAAGTGTTCAGATTTATAAGCATAAGCAATTGCCCTGTCATCTTCCAAAATTGTGTTAAATGAAAAATTATGTATGTTGGTGAATCCATTCACTTTCTCTATGAAGCAATGCCAAATTTTGCTCATGAGAGCTGATGATTTCACTTGGAACAACTTTAAATGCCATTATTCATTACAAATTCTGTAGAAAATAGCATGCCCCCAATCCACAATTCTACCACCTAATCATCCCAATACAATTTTTCATTAAATTTCACTGCTGTATCTGATTAGAGCATTGTCTGAAAACAATTAGTTCACCCCATGTGATGAATAGACGGTAAATTAAAGCATGCTATTTTTAAGCACTACAATATTTCCCTTATCTAAAAGCTCTAAAAATTAAACAGAATATAGTATAAGAAATTTGAATGAACTGTGTAATCAGGTAAAAATCACATGCATGATTAAACTTTTACTGATACCAATATATTTCCAATTTGCAAATAGAAATATAAAATTAATATTTAACTTTATGAAATAAGATCAAATCTGTATCAATTAAAGGAGAGTTGTCTGATGTCTAATGTCCTTAATAAAAATGCTATTTGTATATCCTAGATTTTTCAGCCCTCCTTTGAGTATGAATGAAATCACTAGTTTTATTGTTTGTTCTAAACTAAAAGTGAAATATGAGTTCAATTTAAAGCATATTGCTATGTTGTCCTTGTCAAAAGTATACTATGACTTCATTTTCATAATCAGTGTTTCTGTTCTACCAAGTTAATATAATAGAGATCATGGGTGCACAGAAAAAATTATTATGTTGCAGTAAAAATGGTTATTCTTTCCCACTTTGTTAAATTATCTTGCCTGTGATGGTATTTCTGCTGAAGGAGGATGGAAAATAAATTGAAGTACAGACATCCCCTTGTGATGACAGTCAAGTATCTTGATATTTATTTTTAACTTACTGTCTGATCGTCTACCATATTTTGATTAGTTTTAGGGTTTTGTACCTAGAGTCCAGATTAAACTTAATACATTCACTGCTATGGTATAATTCTTTGTGTATTGGAAAATAACTTAAATCTTATAACTATATAAGTATAAAAGATAGTCTATGCCATTATATATGAAATGTTCAAAATTATTCCCCAACACAGATTAGCTCTGGGAGAGAAAATTATTCCCCAACACAGATTATCTCTGGGAGAGAAAATGGCAATTACAGATGTTTTAAGTAAAACCTAAAGGCTGTGAGGTTGTTATTATGGTTTTCAGCAAGAGACTTTTTGGTCCTACACTTAAAAGCATAATATTTTGATCTTAAATGCATCATTGAAGTGAATAATGTACAATTTTTATTCTTGCATACATTGTGTTCAAACATTTTTCAAAGCATTGGATTTTTGCTCATGATCACTTTTAATGTGGCCACTCTTTTGTGTTTAACATAAATACACACACCCAAGCACACACACAAATATCATAATTCCCTGGAAAACAGAGAAAATATAATCAACCATCAAATCTGTAAACCAAAAGCATCTACAGATATGTACAAATTTCAAACCAAGTATCTTTACTTTTTAATGCTTTAAAATTTTTCTCATCTTGAAATTCAGCACAAAAAGACGAATTAACACTGTGAAACCTTAACATTCTGCCTTTGGCTTATTCAAAGTAAGATCTGGAAATGAGTAAGAGGAACCATCTAATGGAATGTTGTCCTGTGAGAACATCGCAACAAAATATATGACTTTAGAATTTCATGCCAGTCTTTGGGCTACACCTATCCCAGAAATTCTGTTTCTTCTTTTCATTTATACTTTTATTCAGCAAGTACTTGTAAAGTGCTGTAATGATCAGAAAGTATTAAAAAAGTTAAAAGAAAGAAGGCATATGCTTTTGTTGTCTTTAAACAGCTAAAAGTCTAGAGAATTTTCTTTAAGAGTAAGAAATAGACAATTTAGAAGATGTCAAAATACAGATGTGTACCAAGACATTGAGAATTTTCCGAAGAAAGATTCTAATATTACATATGCATTATGAAATATAGAATGACTTTTCAGTTTCTGTTTCCAGTAACATAAGAAAGTAGATAATTTAATAAAATTCTCTCACATGAAAAACACTAGATTCTGAATATATTTACATCAAAAATGCATTTGAAGTGTTACTCAGGTAATGGTTTACATTCCCTGAAAACAATGCAATTGAAAGAAAGACATGAAGAGTGCAATAGTAGAATTTAATGAACTAGAAAGCAAAGATAGAGAGTTTTGGCAAGATAAATAATTGGTTGTTGGAAAAAATAATTAATTCTATAATGTTTATCGCGGTTAATTTAAAAAGTAGGCAAGCCCTGAAAATATAAGTAGTGAAAAGAAGGAGGCATACTTCAAATTTAAAAATGTATTTTAAAATAATATGATTAATTTATGTCAATGAATTTGAAAACTTGAGTGAAATGGATAAAGTCTAGAAAAAAAATAATAATCTAGCACTAGATTTTAATACTAAAAAAAATTAAAAGACTGCCTAGAAAAACAATTCATTAAACACAATAGGTATGATAAATACATAAAATATGGTAGGTTTTTTTAAAATAGCGGTTATACTAATAAATGTAAATTAGCTTATGTTCTACAATTAAAAAATATATTGTTTAGATCGATTCATAAAAAAAAAAAATTTAATCTTTTATACAAAATACATATCTAAAACAAAGTCATTCTAAAGGCTAAAATCTCGGTACCAGACAGAAGAGCTTTCATTCACCAAAGCACTAAGAAGACCAAAAGAAGATATTTTATAATGCTCAAGCCCACCAATATACCTGTCACAAGCTAAGTTGCACAGAAAGTCAACTCCAAACAGAAGATTAGCTTTCAGGGCAATTATTACAGAGGAGATCAATAACTTTGGAAATGAGGGGAAAGAAGTAAGATTGAACAGAAGAAGTTGAGCTTCAATATTATCTGAATGAAGGTCTCTAGACTGGGAAGGCCCTTCAGAGAAGACTTGAGTTAGGGCAAGAAGACTGGGCTTCTTTGCTCCAGTATTGATCAAGTTGTACTTAGAATGGGGCTCCCATTGAAAAGAGGTATGATCTCGAGTGAAGCCATTTTCTTCAGTCCAACAGCTGAGGGCCTTCTTCCAGCAACATTGTTGGCTGCTCACAAAGTCGATCCTTCCTTTCAGAAGAGCTCTGGTTGACATATCATAGTGTCTATCAGAGCACCATTTCTCACCGATCAAATTGGCAAAAATTCAAGCACTGAACAACATATTCTCTAACATGTTGATGGGAATATGAGCACCTTATCTATTACCGTTAGATGTGCAAAATGATACTTTTCTAATGGAGAAATACATCCTGAAGATATTTCTCTATGCATTAAACAACAAACAAATATATACACAGGGTTAATCACTACAGAATTATTTGAAATGTGCATCACTGGAGGCTAGTTGAATAAATTATGGTATAGCCACACAATGGAAAACTATTGGTAATAATAAAAAGACGAAAAAAGATCTATCACAATGATGTAATTTATTAGATTTACACTTATATCTATAGTAGTAAATATCACTTTTTAGTTATAAAAATTTCCCCACAAAAAAAAGAAAAATAAATATATGTATGTGTGTGTGTGCGTGTGTATATCTAGATCTAGATCTAGATCTAGATCTAGATATAGTGAGTGAGAAGTGTGTGTGTGTGTGTATATATATATATATATAGTGAGTGAGACTGGGATGAGACCAAAATTCTTGGTAGCATTTATTTTGCAAACATTTTTGTTCTGGTTTGTTATTGTTGGATTATGGTTTTAAATGTTACCTCTCTTCCACTGTTTTGTTTATTTTCTTTAAGAATTCCAATTAAATATCAGGTGGGTATTATTTTCCTGTCTTACCTATATAACTCTGAACCTTCCCACTTCTTTATTTTATTTCATTCAATTGACTGTTATCGTTTCTTTACTTGATATTCATTAGCATATTTTCAACAATATCTATTTATCCTTGCTCACTTTTAAATTAATTTATTTGTTACTATTGTATTATTCTTGGTATATATCTCTATATCAATATATATAGAGATATAGATATAAAATATATTTTTGAACCATGTACATATTTTTAAAAGAAAAGTACATTTAGAAATATGGACATCAAAGCCTAAATTGAAATACTAAAAGAAGCAAATGAACTTGAATGTAAATCAAAGTGATATGCATTTTAATTGAAGATATTACTAAAACCCCCCACATGAACAATGTTTATATACAGAGAGAAAACATGGAAATCTATCATTTATCTATATCTATCTATCTATCTATCTATCTATCTATCTATCTATCTATCTATCTATCTATAATCTATGTCATCTATCTATCTATCTACTCTGAAAGGGCCCAGAAATAATAATATTAGAGTAGCAATGAACACACCTAACTCCAAATTGTGATATGTGAATACCATAATTCAACAGAAAAAAACTCCTTGGAGAAATTATTGATTATAGATATGGGACAGAGGAAGTAAAATGTTCTTAGAACATCTTATTGTTCAAAAAACAAGGACATGCACAAAGTCTAATGTAATCATTTTCAAAGAATAGAGGGGTTACTTGAAAGATTTCCCACTAACCAAATTTTAACAATTTCATCATTCTAAAGAATAACAACAGTAATGGAAAGCAATATCTTTTGTTTAAAAGTGTTTAGGTCTGTAATAATAGGAGGAGGATAACAGAGAGAGTTAACGTGATGGAGAAAAGTAGGGCAAGTTCTTTTTACAGAAGAATGCTACCTAATAAATATAGAAGGGATGTCAGAATTAGAAAATCACTTTAAAATGATAATTATTTAGGGAAAGGTCATAAATGGATGCCAAAACTACTGAGTAGAAAGTTCATGGAGAAAAAGGTATTCATATAATGTGCAAATATTATCTTGCTTTTAATTACAAGGTAAAATGTACTTTTACAATGAATATATCTCACAATTATTGTGTAAATAGTATTGTCATGAGTGGAAAAATGTGTGCATATTTTATATATAACTTTATATATAAAGTTACTTGGTTCCTTAGGACAGTTATGGAAATTAGATAATATGATATATTTAGGTGATATTAGTGTTAATATTCATAGGTATGATATTCAATTTGCTATTCAAATTGATATTCAATTTGAAGATATTCTTAATTTTGAGAGATGTATACTGAAGTATTTAGGGCTGAAATAGCCTGATAGTTGCAACTTACTTCCAAATGATTCAGGAGACAAAAAAAAGAAAGGAGGGCTGATATTCAAAATGTTGACCTTTGGTGAGTTTAGGTAAGGATTGTATGGGTACTCATGTACTATTTGTTCAACCTTACTGTAGTTTTGAATATTTTCTCAATAAAGAGAAAACAAACGAAATACAAGTTCATACTCATTGGTTTGACAAAAAAAAAAAAAAATGAAATTGACTGTTGGCAAGGAAGAGAGAAAGATGTGGAGCAACAGAAACTCATATTGTTAATAGACTATAAATTGCAACAACATTGGAAAATAATTTGTTACTATCTAAGTAGAAGACATATATATCCTCTGACAAAGCAATCCAACTTCTTGGTTTTTGTCTCAATGAAAGTCCGCCACGTGCATCAGAAGACTTTAATAAAATTGTTCATAAACTTGTTTTTAAGAGCAAAAATTCGGAAACACACAAATGTCAAAAGAAACCACACAAATTATACCATATTCATATAATAAAATACCATATAGCAGTGAAAGTAAACTATAAAGCTGTAAATATCAGCATGGATTAATCTCAGAAATAAATAATTGATTGAAAATAGTAAATCTTACAGTGATGCATGTGCTGTGAAGGTTAAAAGTATATAACCCTTAGTATTTATTGGAATAAAGTTTGTTCTGAAATGTTTTATTTAAAGCTGTTCAAACTGCACAGCTGCCATTCTTTTAGATGAGACTTATCAAAGTCCTCTGTCTACACCAAATGCCAAATGGCATCCTATGACCAGATGATGCACAGACGATCCTCACCTACAGGTGTTTTCTGAATAGTCTTCCTACAGCATAGGAAGAAAGGCAATGTCCTCCCTGGGTCTACGTTCATACTAATGAGAGTGCATTCTTGAGATGGAAAAAGAAACTAAATGTTAGTTGAGAATTAAAGAATTAAAAGTGACACAGGTAGTATTTTTGTGTTGACAGAGAGTTTCTGCTTAAATAAAAAGAAAATCAATATTTTCTTTTTCTTTGTAGAGTAAAAGTGAACAAATTACTGTGCGGCATCTAACATCAGGAAACTGGGAAGTGGTAAAGATCTTGGCATATGATGAAACTACTCAAAAACTGTGAGCATTTTGGTTTTCTTGTCAGGCTGGAAGTAAGGTTGTCAACTGTAAATCTTTTTTTGCCAGAAATATGTTTTGCTTATCATGGTCTTAGTCCAAACAACCTGGCCATGTAAAAACAACTTTTTCTTTAAAGACTCTCTGTATTTGGGGAGACACTTACAGAAACACGAGCACCAGCACACACAGATTGAGAGATCTCATGGAAAAATGTGATAATACTTTAAGAAAAAAAATACATATGTTTCCCAAATGGATCCAAATGCTATGGTTGAATAATAGAAAAACTCTTGCCCATTCTTTGACGGTGTGAAAATTCAAATGAAAACAATATGGCAAAAATTTATTTGTGCCTAATGTTTGTGCCGTTTTCTTTCCTGGGCAGTTATTTTCTGAGCACTGAATTTTCTCCCAGAGGGAGGCAGCTGTACAGGTAAGCAGAATTCAAGGATCTCCTTAAACAGGTTGATTTCTCAAAGGCTATCTACTCAACTTAATTATGGAATGGAAAAATCTGAAGGTTCATTTTGACAAGGCTAGGGAAGAGTCAAATCTCCATGACAAAACCTCACACTCTTGGTCCAGTCTTTTCTTTTAGCTCTTACCTTTGGGAGGCTGAATGTTTGCAACTGAGACCATTTTGCTACTTTCACAGTCTCAAAATATCTTGGAGTTTTTTTGTTTATTTGTTTGTTTGTTTTGTTTTGTTTTTTGAGGCTTGCTTCTCTCAACTACCCACATCATAGGCATTCACGTGTTTTCCCAAGTGGTCTTTTCTTCTAAGCTTCATTTAAAAATTTCAGCTCATTAATATTGCACACATGCAATTTATTCCTGAACAAAATAAAAGCATTGTGAACAGTAAGTAGAATGGATCAAGTAAAAATTTCCGTTTTTGCTCTCATAGAGGGTAAAATCCATTAAGATTGTTATTTAAACCAGGAATCTTTGTCACAAAAATAAAGCAAAGGATAAGAGATATTTTCATCTGCCCAATTTTCCCAGATGGAAAGTTATATTCATTGAAGGAGCTTAAGGTTATACCTATTTAGTATTAAAATGTCTCCTCTCTCAAAAAGCTTTCAACAAGACCTCACTTTTATTTTTGTCTGGCAAGCAACTTATTAATTCTAGACTTTATATACACTTTCTAATTTCCATTTCACAGTTTTAAAGTGTCAAACTGCCATGGCATATTCTCAGTGGAAATTTATCATGTTTGAATAAGTGTCACCACTGATTCTTACCAAGTAGCCTAGACTTTTCTTTGAGAATAAAACTTCATGGTTAAAGTGCCCTAACTCCCTCTAATTTAACCACCTACTTTTATTTATGCATAAATTGCTTCTAACTGAAGCAAGACTCTCCTTTTTGTCACCCCTCCCAATATATCATTTTCTATTTCTACTCTTAGAATCTGAAACCCATATTCTCAATTCTAATGACTTCCAAAGGAAAAACAGCTGTTTAATTAAGGGAATTCTCACTTTGGTTTAGAGGTCTCGACTAAAGCACTGGTCACTTTTTTCTTTTTGATGACTTGAAACTTTTCCTCCTTGAAACTTATACTATGATTGCTACTGGCAGTCATGAATAATCCTTTAGAGACATGGAAATACTTGATCAGTGTTTCATTTCTCTTATTTTATAAAACTCTTAAAGAAAAATGACAGTGTCAAGAGATGAGACTTGGCTAAGTTGAATTAATAGAACTGCCTCAATTTCTCTTCCCCTTCCTAGCCTAAAGTGTGATTTGAGTCACAATCACTTCTTATATTTGTGTGCTTGCCTTATCTTTCTAGTGACTGAGGCAGAACAGTCAATATATCTGTGACCAGTGCTAGTGTAGCAGGCTGTGCTATAAAGAAAATGTAGTGCCGATAAATTTCCCCTTAAATAGCTCATCACATGCCAGTTGGCTTCACTGTAAGATAATGTTAGTGTTTAATCCAGAAAACTCAATTAATGTCTTGTCCAGGCCATAAAATTAATCATCGGTTGACTTAATTTATGGGATTAGATGCTCCTGTAGAATCAGAACTTTTACCATATTCAGTGTTATAATTTTGTCTCAAATTTTGCATTTCTTTGTTTCACTAATTTCATAGTCTGAATGATGAGAACCCACCAACATAAATCTCTAGGGAACTTGGATCTGAAAAGTTATATGAAGGAATAGAGAAAGAAAGTTTTTAAATTCTAGTTATATCAATAAATAGCTGTGTGTAACTGGCATGAATTCTTAATCTCTGTAGTCATGGTTGTACAATATTGTGAATATAATTAATGACATTGAAATATATACTTAAAATGGTTAACATGGCAAGTGTTATCATACATATACTACATATATATAACATATACATTACATATGTGTAATATATATACCACAATTTTAAAAATTAAAAAAAAATTGGGTATGATGATTACCTTATAAATTATCCTAAGGGTAAAACTGGCTAACATGTTTAAGTACCTAGTGTGTACTTATCACCTTGACTAGTAAAGGAAAATTTTGCACTGTAGTGAATTCAAGATGTTCCAAATGTGAAATTATGACTTTGTGAACTATACTTAACATTCATCCTCAATTGCTTCTGGTGCTTTTGATGCTCACATTAACACTTTTATTCCCATCTTCATGCCTGCAGCATATTGCACATCAAAATAAGCACAACTATGATTCATTTATAAAAATCATATTTTGGTCTAAGATAAAACTGAGAATATTTTGTCCAATCAAGTTTTATTAAATGTATCATCAACAATGTTTTCATCTATCAACATAGATAATTTGTAATTCATCAATGGTTAAAAAATAAATGATTCAATGTAAGAAATGTAACCTTGGGGACACATTTCAATCCCTCTGATCTTAAGCACTATTATTTGTAAAATAAAGAGATGATTCTTTTTCCTACTTCCCTGATATTGCAAAGTATGTATGATTATTAACATTATATATTTTGTCATACTGAAGTAACTTTTCCTTACCAAAAAATTCAGTTCAAGTATTTAGTGAAAAAGAAAATGCCACTAGTATCAAATTCTAATATTTAAAATGTTGAACTTAGTAAATAATGAGCTTGATTTTTTGTAACTTGTGAAAACATTTATTATTTCTTTCAACTAATGTTTGTTTATGATAACTTTATACTAGTCTCAGTGAGCAATTTCTTTTAAGATTACAAAGAAATATCTATACAGAAAATGTAGTTAAGAATAAGTTATATTGAGTCCTGTGGAAAACCTTTTTTTTATAAGCATTCACACATATCACATACATACAGGTATACATAATCTTAATTTTATTACAGAGGAGAAATATGTGTATGTCTTAATATTAGTAATAGAAATTGACTTTGTATTTGTATGGTAGTCATAATTTACAAGGAACCTCAATATGGGTAATGCTGTAGCTCCTCTGTTTATGTTAATATTTAAATTTAGATGCCACACATTCAACTACAAGGAATGGTAACATTTCTAACTTTCTTTTTCTTTCTCAGTGCTTCTACTGAAGGCTTATTGAATCGTCAATGCATTTCATGTAATTTTATGAAAGAACGGTGTACATACTTTGGTGCCAGTTTTAGTCCCATGAATCAACATTTCTTATTATTCTGTAAAGGTAATAAATGATTTCTGATAAAATTTATTTTATTGATTTTTTATCAATATCTATTGCTATCATTAGTAACTATTACTCTCTAGCTACATGATTTAATATTCTTAATTTATAAGGTTTTGTTAAAAAGTCATAAATTATGGATTTACTGAGATAAAAATTATATTCATATACTTTATTTAGAACTAGAAACTGAGAGTAAGTCCACATGTACACATGACCAATAAAGGCTGTTTGAACATGGTCCTTTTAAAAAAGTGAATAAACATATTTATATCAGCAAATTTATGCCACGATAACAAACTAATTTACCCAGTCTTTAGGAAAAACAGTAGTCTTATTAAATATTGGCTTGATTATTGAGAGATTTAATATACAGAAATTTAATTCCTTGGTTCTTGTGCCCTTCAGTTCTGAAAAATTACATTAACCCCAATTACTTCTTCTACCTGAAAACAATTTGCTATAGTCCTGCATAGGGATGTGATAACTCTAGGTTATAGTGATAGAAATTATTGTCCCTTTAATAGGATATTGTATTTTTCAAAGATGAAATGGGAGACCTGTGACCTCTTATAATGTGATGAATTGAGTTTTACTGCTTCGGCTGGTACCTTAAGCTGTCCCATTTTAAGGCGCCATGAAGAATAGATCGGCACTTATTTTTTTAAATTATGTTTTCTCTTGATATCTGAAATGAAGTCATTAAAAAAGAAAAACACTTGTTTGATGACACCAGGGGAAAAATATTAGACCTCTAGACAGAGTTCCTTACACAAGTGAAGTTTCAAGATAACATCTTACGAGTACACCTGAATTAACCAGTATGTTTGAAATAATTGGTAATTCCAATTAATGTATTTTTTAAATTAATGTATAATTAAACTCTATTTTTATTAGCTTTTGCATGAAATATTTTTAATATGCATGCATTCTTTCTTTCTTGGTTAACTGGTAAATAGAATTTAATCTTGGATGAGTGGATAAGGGGTCACAGAATTGTAAAATCAGCTTTCTGTAAAAGACTAGAAAAAGAGTGAGCGAGGTGCATGAAATTGGCTAAAAGCATAGAAATATAGAAGAATAGGGCATTTTGGAGAAGGAGGGGATCTTAAATCTTAACAACAATCTATATGAATAGTTTCTTTCCTGCTATGTTCTTACTTTCCTGGATAAAACATCCATAGAAAGGAATGAAATCTAGTCTGGTTTCTGTTTCATTATGTTTTAACTATGCAATCCTTCAATTTGAAAAAAAAAAAAAAAGAACTCTGTCATTTTGCCTTTTCAGTAATTATTACAAATATATATTTAAAATTTTTTATACATATATTTTAAAAATCCAGGTCCAGGGGTCCCAATGGTCAGCCTACATGATACGGACAACCCAGCAAGTAAGTACATGAACACAATACAGAATACTCATGGTTGGCATTGGGCTTAGGTATTATATTATTTATTTTTAATGTCATACTTTATAGAACCTTCTTTAAAGGAGACCCCAGCATGGAAAAACCTGGGTAGGCACCCTTAACTTGACTTGTGTATGTAAGAGAAATGGTAAAGAAAGTGGTTTGAGCCGTATTATAACCAGAGTTGGATCTTATATGCCTGAAATAGGGCGTCTTCTGTGTCTACATTAAATGAAGAGCGATTGATGAGGCTCATTTAGGTATATTTTAGCCTACTGGCTCCTTAGTGCTGTGATTCATTCTTTTCTGGGCCCCGTATGAATTATTCCTCTAGAGTAACACATTATGTGTACTTCTGAAAATATTATGAGAAAAATTATTTTACATATTTTCAATCCTATTTGTTCCAGATATTCAGGGCTTTCTAGTTTTATATATTCATTTATTCTTTTATATATTTATTTAACTGTCCATCATCTGTTGAGTGAGCACTTTACTTTATTGAGCAATATGACAAAGGCTGGGTGTATACTGTTGATAAGATGTGGTCAGTGTGTTTAAGAACTTATAATAGACTGCATAATTAATTATATGGTTGAGCAAATCTTAAAAATGAATAGCCAAATTGCCTCCTGCCTTCTTTTCTTCTTACTTTTATCTATATTTCTTTTTCTTCTTATGATTTAAAAAATTCATTTAGAACTCTTATGCTCTCATGATTTACTACAGTGTACTATAATCTAATAAATTAAGCTTATACTTACTAATGTATTTAATCCTTAGAACATCCCCTGAGATAGTTAATTTTATTACCTTATTTTACAGGTGAGGAAACTAAGTCACAGAGAGGTTAAATAACTTGGAAAGAGAGATAATAAGGGGCAGAGCCAGGAATCAAATGAGACAGTCTGACTCCAGAATAGGGTTTGTAATCATTACCATATGATGGCACCTTATTCTATTTTGTTTATGTCTCTCACATCACATACCTATATTTAAGTAAGAGTCTTACTTAGATGCATTGACTTAAAGGAGTCGCAGTCATAAAAGTGCAATGTTGGAGTACAACTGTCATTTTTAGAGAACAGAAAAATACGTTTTTCACTCTTTAAATACTACCATGTGAAGTCTTCTAGCCTGTTTTAGAAAAAAAGACAAAATTTCTAGTTTGGCAATAAAGTTTTGTATGGTTGTAAATAGGTTAGCACATATTTTAGTTTCTACTTATTAGTATAAATCTTAAAGAAGTTATGGTAAGAAAAATAAATCTATTCAATATTAACACTAACAGCAGTAATCATAATAAAGACTATATTTAATAAAATGGAAGGAAGGTTGAATTTTATAGATGGAAAAAATCAGTGTATAAAATGAGTCTATCACATACAGTTTGCAGGATCTGAGACAAGTTAATATCTCATTGGATAAATTTCCTTGTAGTTAAATTAGCAAATACATTTTCTGTGAGGAGGAGATATAGTTGCAACATGGGATGCACTCAATTAAAGGCAACCATTTGTGTTGTATTGTCTATTCTTCTGAAATGATAATTTAAAAAAATTCCCTATCCGATTTTTTAAAAAATTTTACTTGTTTCTTTTTACTTTTTAAAAAATTAATTAATTAATTTTTTAATGATGACATTGGTTAACAAAGTTCAATGTTTCATCTGTACACTTTTAAACAGTAGGCATATATATTTACACTGTGTGTTCACCTCCCATAGTTAGATTTCTTTCTGTCACCATATATTTGACCCCCTTTACCTGGTCTACTTCCCCCCTCCACCCACTCCTTACCTCCTGATAACCACTAGTCTATAGTCCATGTCCATGGGTCTCTGTTTATTTGTCCTGTTTATGTTTATTTATTGCTTTTAGGTTTATATCCCACATATAAGTGATATCATGTGATTTTCAACTTTTTCTGTCTGCCTTATTTCATTTAGCATTATTATCTCGAGGTCCATCCATGTTGTTGCAAATGGCCCTATCTGATTTTAATTAATTTTATTCTATCGTTACAAGACAATGTTATTTTCTAATAAATTTTGCTGCAAATCATGAAACATTTTGTCAAAAGGAAATCCTTCTGATTTTTTTTTATTTATTAGCCAATTCTGATCATCTTAGGGTCAAGAAAAATAAAAAGGGGCTGTGAACAGTGGTCAGTGCTTAAATTTCCTTTTGAAAGACAATTGTTAAGATAAATTTACATTCAATTGCAAGTAAATCTTTGGGCTAATGGATCTTTCAGTAAATCTTTGTTATACTAATGAATCAGTCATAACTCATTTTGGAGCCACATAAAGTACAATAGAGCATGAAAAGTAAATTGAAGAAAGAAAAATGAAATTACTTAACAAACTACAAAATCGTTAAACTCAGCATTTATAAAGAAATGCAAAGTAAAATACTGCCATGTAATTTCTTCTAACAAATTAATAACGTCAAAAAATGTATATTGCTAATGAAGATAGGATGAAGATCTCTTAACTTGCTGATAGAAATATAAATTATAGCAAATATTTTTTTTAAAAATAACAATCATAAGCTTTAAATCTTTTATATCTATTTATCTGATAGTTTTCCTTTTAATGGTTTATACTGAGGAAATCATTCTAAATAAGGAAATTATAACAGCGCTATTGATGATAGTTGAAAAGCATGATATAAATAAAAAAGAGGAGGGATTGTAAATAAACTTGAATGGAGTGGTAATTAATGCACCAAATATCTTACATTTGTTCTTCCAGTACAACTCTTAACTGTTTATCTGTCTCCTGGTCTCTGCCCCCAAAGTAGTGTGTATGGATGATTTAGATTTGTTTACCATTTGACTGCCAGTTGAGTTCAGCGAAAGTGAATCATGTAGTGACAGATGAAGGGAAAACGTGATTTTGATGTAGCTACTCCTTCTGGCCTTATCCCTGCAGAGTCACCCCAGGTACCTAAAACTCTTGGTCGGTCACTGTGACTCTCACACAACCACCTCCATATTAACTGCTTTTTTCCCTTGACCTGAAGGTCTAGCCACTATCATACAAGCCCTGGGTTACTGTACTATCTCTTATAATCAACTGCCCATTGTCCATATATTTGCAAATACTCCTTTATTAAAATTGTACCAATTTATTCTAATAAAGTTCTCATTAGTTTCCTGCTAGAATTAAACATAAAAAATGTTTAATGTTTTGTGTTTAATTTATAAAAGTCAATTCTTCAAAACTGTTTAAGCTATATTTCTAAGTGATTAGAGTCCAAATGTTTATGCCACTTGAACAAAATTATTTGAAAAATAATAGAAAAATTCAAAAAGAAAATATTCAAAAATATAAAAATTCTTGCATTTGCCAGGCAGCCTTCTTGGTGATTTTTTATTTCTTTCTTCTTGAGTGTTTCCCTAATGATCTACTATGAAAACTTACATTATAATGAAAAAGAAACCCTTTATTAAAATACTCAGTGACTTGAAGCAGGGTATAAGTATGTAAAATTTTACTCAGTTAGTATTTCAAAAATCTTTTGTCTCATATTATGATCATTCCCTTTCTTCTTTTTATATTTTTATCTTCTTAATTTTGCATATAGAATTCTTTTTTCTTTTACATTAATTCATTTTTATTCTTTCTTTTCTTTTTTCTTCCTCTCCATTTCATTTCTTCTCATTTCTCTTCATACTTCTTTCTTATCTTTCTCTTTCCTAATTTTCTGTTCTTATTTTCTTCTCCTTTATCCTCAAGTCCACTTAAAATTATATCTTAACACTTCTTTTCAAATATTTTGCAAAAAGCAGAGTATTAAGCATATTTTCTGACTTAATCATGAAAAAATACTGTGTGTTCTTTACCTTTTAAAATGGCTTAAGTGTTTTCTATATTTCTTTATTAAATAGAATTTGCTTTTCTGTGACCATGGATTGATTTTATTCCATGAATAAATGAATGACTTTTGATTTAGAAGTAAAAATTTCTCAATTGCCCCTATACTCATGTAATTAGTTTACATATAGATATTTGATAATAAAGAGAAACCATGAGAAGTTCCTGTTTTGTCAGATTTATTAATTTTTTCTGCAGTATTTAATATACTATTAATTTTACCAAGTATTTTTTCAACTTAGATCTCAGAGTTTTCATGTATCTCAGATTTCACAGTTTTTATTTTTAGAAATTTAACTTGTGTCTTTTTCTTATATTTCATATTTCTTTTAAAATCCTCATTTTTTAAAATTTTATTTTATTAGTTTATAGTATACAGTACATTGGTTAGACATTTATATAGCTTACAAAATGATCTCCTTAACTGCTCCTACTCTCCTCTGGTTCTCATTTTTTAAACTTTATTGAACACATGTAATAAAATTATAATCTTTGTTTTAATGTAATTATCTATTTATTACAGCATCTGTGTTATTTCTGAGTTATTTCTATTGATTAAATTTTGTGCTCATCATGGGTGGTATTTTTCTGATTTTTTGCTTGGTAATTTTGCATTGTAATCTTGGCATTATGAATTTCATCTCATTGTGAGCTAGATAATTTTATACTTTTTTACAAATTCCTAAGCAGAGTAGTAATATGATAAGATTTGCCTTTTGAAAATATAAATGCTAATTCCAAGTATAGGGGCAACTGGAGAAAATTTTGCTGAAATTAGAAAACTGTTGTAGTAATCCAAGTGAGAAATTATGAGCCTAGCACAGTGTCTGCCAAAGAATAACAGCTGGGTAATATTTTGTTGCGCTGATTCTTGATCAGCAACAGCGGTTAGTAATTTATGCTACCCTTTTTAATTTATAGAATATTTTATATTGGAAAACAATTCTATATTGAAGGAGGCTATCCTGAAGAAGAAGATAGTAAAGTCAGAAATTAACATGCTTCATATTGACGACTATGGTAAAGTTTTGTGCATGCTATCTCATTTAAAAACAACTTTCTCTGCATCTTATAGCTTTACATATAAATGACTCTCCATCTTTAATATTTTGTTCTTTCTTTACAAGAACTTCCTCTACAGTTGTTCTTTCCCAAAGAGTTTACAGACCGAAACAAGTATGCTCTACTATTAATAATGTAAGTATTTCTATTTGTTTTTGAAATAAAAGAATCTAAAGATTTTATAATTTTTCTAATGCCTTGCATGACAGCACTCTGTTTAGGAAAACAACATAAGACCTACATGTGTAGCTAATTGGGCAGCTGTCAGTTTTGTTTCTCAAGGATACCACCGTTAATAATATGGAGGGATGTGTAATTTTTATACTTTTGCATTCCAAATTAAACTCAGTGTTACTACTGAGAATAGTGACACATATAGTTTTGTTTATATCTGCCTAGCAATTACTCAAGTCCTACGCTTTTTCTTTTTCTTTTTTTTAAGGATATTGGTCTATAAGTTTCTTCCTTTGGTATATATTTTTCGTATCAAAGTTATGCTAGTTTCATAAAAGCAGTTTTTTTAAATTGTGCTAACAACACGAGATCTACTCTCTTAACGAATTTTTAAGATCACACTACAGCATCGTTAACTATAGACACAGTATTGCACAGCTGATATCCAGAACTTAATTTGGTTTGCACAACTGACACTTTATACTCATTGAATAGCAACTCCCCATCCCCTTCCCCGCAGACCCTGGCAACTAGCATTCTACTTTCTGCTTCCATGCCTTTGACTATTTTAGATATTGCATAAAGTGACTGGCTTATTTCACTTATTAGCACAACGTCCTTAAAGTATATCTGTATTTCCACATTTAAACCCTATGCTCTTCATCAGTTGCTTATGCAATATTAATGGACATTTATTTCCATTGCTGAAACAATTGGTTATATTTGTATCACTCCTATTAGGTTACCTTCTTGGATTCATGGCCAGTAGGAAGCAGCCCCATGCTCAGAAAACATGACACTTAGGTTTTTCCAACTTGGAATTGACTTTGGAATAAAATTCATCCTCACTTTCTGTGACACTATATTGTGACTATCAAGTATTAAGCACAGAGGCCTCTAATAGATAATGGTTAACTAACTTGATATCAATGTAGCATTGTATTCCTGAGAATTATTAGTTATTTTCCTTATTAAGAACCCAACAAACATATTGCTATGACAGCATTTAAAAATGTCTAGAATTATATTAGAACTTTAAAAGAAATAGTAACAATAAAATAGCATTATTCGTTATGACTACCGAATGTAGAGGATATTCAGTCTGTGGAATCAAACTGCCTAGCTTCAAATTCCAGTTTTGTTATTTACTAGCTGCATGTTCTTGAGCAAGTTACTTGACTTCTACAGTTTCTCCAAATGTAAGTGAGTATTACAATACAACCAATGTTTTAGGGCTGTTTATATTAAATAAAACATCATGTAAAATACTTAGCACATGATTCTTATAATTATTCTGATTTTATTCATTATTTTATATATATTACATTGGTTTTATTTAGGTATATAAATAAATAGAAGCAATTTGTCAAGTCATTTTAATATGGCCAATAATACAGAAAATATGCTACTTAATATTTTTCATTACTCCAGTGTTTATTTCTAACTAATGCCTTGATCTCACTTAGTGTCTCATGCCCAGACCTTTCTCCTTTGTTCCTAAAAGCTAGAAGGTACTAAATGCTCTTGGTATCTTTTGAGGAAGTTCTTGTGAGCTCTTTCTTATCTTAACTTCTTCTTCTGACTCTTCTCTTTAACCTAGTTGTCTTCAATTCCTATTTGAGCTATATGTGTGATTTATTAGGGAAAATATTGAAGGTATAAAAATGAGACAAAAAGGAAAAAATAACTATCAACCTCATCTTTTCTTTCACTCATATCTCCCTTTTGGAAAAGACTGTTTCTTTTATTCACTGAAAAATAAGGTTTTTCAGGGAAAAGAAACCAACTAAGCATTCTTTCTTGAAGCATGAGTTACTTATGCAGATGGATATGTGGATACTTACATCCTCTTGAACATCTACTTGCTCCACAGTAGTGTCACAATTTGAGGGGAAAAATAGATAAGAGTTACACATTCTCTATGTATCCTGGAGTCAGATAAGCCAGCTGGCTCATCTGGCATCAGATTTGAGCTTTGGTTTGGGTAATTTTTAGTTTATAAGAGGAATATAAGCACTAGCACTAGACTCAGTTTCTCTTGTTAGAGATAATCGGGTCTTTTTTAGAGTCAGGATGGTAGAGTAAAGGTACTGGCTTAGGAGTCAGGTATGCCTGGGTTCAGATCATGCCTCAAAGATTTATCAATATATTGCTTAATTTTCTTAAGTTCTGGTTTCCTTATAAGTAAATTGAGAGATAATAACACTAGATAATTTATATCAACATGTCACCGCAGTGTTTGGGAGAGAAGAAACACTTGCACTTAGTGTTTAATAAATTGTTACCATAATGATAGTTGTTGTTGTTAGTAGCAATATTTTTTATAATTAAAATTATCAATACAAGTATAAAATATGTATTTAAACATCCATAAAGTTATTTAATAAACGTTTATTACTAAAGTAGATAAAATAGTCAGGTCCATAGAATTTACTCTGTCCTTTTTTTGATTAATGTAGGACAGAATGAAAGTGAGTATTAATTCATTAGTTTTCTTTAGTTTTTGCATGCTGATTACATTAAATATTAATTTACTTTATCCAAATTCCATGGTTTTGAGAGGTAAATTCTTAGAAGTTTTGCAGAGTATGACTTACAAAACTAAACTGAAGATTTTTAAATTTAATTTGTAAAATGAATTGTTTTAAGCTTTATTATTATTCCTAAAATTTTTATGCCTAGAAATCCATATAGGTCAGAATGGCTTAAGTATAAAGTGTTTTTTAAGTGTTTGTGTATGTTGCTTATAATTTAAAGGCATCTTTTTTCTTAATATTAAACCCTGTTTTCAGCGACAAATGGATTCTTCACTCTAAAAAAGAAGATAATAATAATAGAATTCAATTTTTTTCCTAAATGAGCAGTAAGGAATAATAAATAAAATGACTACTATTTAAATGAGGCTAAGAGTTGACTTTGTTTTGGTGTCACTACTTTATCGCTATTCTGGACAGTATGTCGAGTACCCAACGGAATGAGCCATTTTGTCACCTACACAGATGGGTTTACAACCAGGAAATCCTATGATAAATGCAAGAGCTAAAGAGAGGCTGCAGCAAATACCTGAGTAGCTGGAAGGAAGGTTGGCCTTGAAAGTGACCACTGACAATTTGCAAACTCCTTTCTGCTAAATATTCATTATTGAACTTTAGAAGAAATGATCCTCTGAATACCTCTCTGTGTCCATATTATTTGAAACCCAAACCTAATTTCATATTGAAAGTGCTAGTGAATCAATAACAACAGCATATTTTACTATAATAGAAAATATAAGAAACATTGCCACTGCGAATATATCTCACTGGCCTTGATTGACAGTGGTCTCTATGTGGTCATAACCCCGTTTTCTTTTGGTACTCCTCCTACTCTTCCAGATGCCTATCTTTAATTTTTCTGTTTGACATTAAAGGGAATCCTTAAAGAACCAGTAGTCTTTATTCATCTTTATACCTATAAACACATGAAATGGATATACACCTATATATACGTCTATATCCATTTCAGTGTTTATCATCTTGAATTTTTGTTGTTCATAGTATTCTTATTTTTTATTCATGTATGTGTAATTTAGTGCATGCACATTTACCATGTTGCTTTTATGTGTAAGAAATTGTACTAATGGCTGTGGGGAGATAAGAAGATTAAAAGAATCTTGAAATCTGTAATAATATTTTGAATTTGTTAAGTATATCTCCACAATGCCTAGCACTCATAGAGGAACCTTATGAAAACCTACTAACTTGTAATTATCTTACTAGAGCAAGTCTGAAGATTATGTGAGATCTTACAGTTATATGTTTATTTGATAAATACATAAATATGAATCTAAATGCCTAGACCCTGGTAGGAGGCAATCCAGACAGATGTACTGTTGTTAAATATAAAAGATTTTATTTGTTTGTTTGTTTGTTTGCTATATCTATGGAGAGAAGCAGTGTTGAGCTGGGACTCTTTATTCAGTGCCAAGAAATCACCACCTCTTTCCATTTTCTGCTCTTTGATGTTCAACTTATCCATGCCACACTTGATAAATGTCTAACTCAGGGAGGCAGAGACTGTTCAACCAGTTAGATTCCGGAATGCAGCATACTCTATCTTGCCCTTATGACTTTGTTCCCTCTCCCTAAGTATATCTTTCTTGAAATTCTAATGAATTCATGGTCATCCATCAACTCTTATCTTCCTGGAGCTTTCTTTCGCCCTCCTCATCAGTCCATCCAAATCCTATTACAATTCTAAATTGTCTTCTTCTATAGCTACAGCCTTCTGTCCAAAGGCTCTCCATATATCTTAAACCATATCGGTCATGTTGTCATTTTTGCACTTTACCCTGTTATTTGTGAGGATGTTTTAATATCCTATTTAAAGAATTTCTGACTCCTACTAGATTTTGGACCAATTTTTCTAAAGGAAAATTTACATTCTAGAAGTGAGTGTTTAGAAAAATAATTAATAGTATCACTAATGGAATATCTTGATATCTTAAGAAAACGGAAATGCTAAAATTTGTATTTTATGTATTCCATACATTAAACAATGCCCAATTTACTTGTGTATTTCTCATAGCAACTAGCTTTTGTTGTAAGAGTCACTCTACAAACATATGTTGAATGAACAAATGTACAATGTCCAGAAAACAGACAAACTTGGTTACTGTTATAGTTCTAACTGGGGAGCGTTATTCATTTTCTATCATTCAATCAACGTCATGCATATCAAAGTTCTACAACTTGGTCATTTTGATGAAAGCGGGCTGTTTGTCATCTTTTCTGTATAAGTATTTTGTTAAATAGAAGAATATAATTAATCGATACATTTGTAGTTAAGTGAAATTATATAGCTACACATCTCCGACAGTCAAGATAACATCAATACTTTTTTCATACACACTTTCTTTTGAACAAACAATATGATAATGTTTAAAATTGTGAATAGTATCATGCTCATGGGACCACAGTGTC